TCCTCAAGAAGCCATCACTGAACCCCATGATACTGGACCACTTTCATCCAGTATCCAACCTCCCCTTTTGGGGAAAGGTGTTTGAGAAGGTGGTTGCTCAGCAACTTCAGAGGACCTTGGATGAAGCAGATTATCTGAATCCTTTCCCATCAGGGTTCAGATCTGGGTATGGTACAGAAATGGCATTGGTCGCGCTTTTGGATGATCTCTGGTGTGGGCAGGATGGTGGTTATGTGTCTATCCTTGCCTTACTTGACCTCTCGGCAGCTTTCGATACCATCGACCAAGGTATCCTTCTGGACCAACTCAGAAAATTGGGGGTGGACACCACAGTATCCTTCCTCCAGGGTCAGTTCCAGTCAGTGGTGATTGGGGAAGAGAGATCCTGCCCTGCTATGCGGGGTGCCACCGGGGTCAGTGCTCTCACCTCTCCTATTCAACATCTACATGAGACCACTGGGTGAGCTCATCTGTTGCCATGGAATGAGGTATCATGATACTCAATTGTACATCTCTGCCCTGGCGACTTAAGCAGTGCTGTGGACCTCCTATCTCGGTATCTGGAGGCTGTGAGGATCTGGATGGGGAACAACAGGCTTCAACTGAACCCTGGCAAGACTGAGTGGCTTGGGGTTTTGAGCCCTTCTGGTTCTAGGATTTTACCATCTTTGGTACTGGATGGGGTCGCATTGCCCCAAACAGACCCTATGCGCAGTCTGGGGATCCTCCTGGACTCATGACTCCTGCTTGAAGAGCAGGTGGCAGTCGTGGCTAGGAGAACCTTTGCACAACTTTGTATTGTGCGCAAATAGTACCCATTCCTAGATCAGAGGGACCTACTCACAGACACTCAGGCCCTTGTCATCTCTACATGGGGCTGCCCTTGAGGAATATCCAGAAACTTCAGCTGGTGCAAAATGCAGTGGCACAAGCAGTTATGTGTGTTTCTAGTAGAACACACATTACACCTCTGCTTCGCGAGCTGCATTGGTTACCAGTTTGTTTCCGGGTCCAGTTCAAGATGCTGGTGTTGACCTTTAAAGCTCTTCATTGCATGGGGCCGGGCCATCTGAGAGATTGCCTTTCCGTGATTTCATCTGCCCGTCCTATCAGATCCAGCAGAGAGGGTATGTTATGGGTTCCATCGCCTACGTAGCTGCATTTGGTGGCCCTAGGCAGCAGGCCTTTTCTGCTGTGGCGCCTGCACTGTGGAATCTTCTCCCCCCTGAGCTGAGGTTGAGCTTGTCATTGTTGAGCTTCCGGAGGTCCCTTAAGACCTGGTTGTGCCAGCAGGCCTGGGGACCCCAGGGGATGGGGGTGGCTCCGTTATTTTTAATATACTTTTATTCTCTGTTCTATTTTGATTTTTATATTTTTAATGTATTTATTTATTGTTTTTAGCTTTGTTGTACGCCGCCCAAAGTTGCCTGTGGTGAGATGGGCGGCTATATAAATTGGTTAAATACATACATACATACATACAGTACATATATCTGTATTATTGTCTCTGAAAGAACTCTAGTTTCAAATGAAACTTGGTTTTAGGTAGGGCAGTCCCAGAAAAAAATATGGTCATATCTGAAGAAAAGAGATGGCATCATCATTAAGTGAGATAAATCCAAATCTCTTATTAGTAGAAATGTGAACATCTAAGATAGGCATCTTGATACTCAGAATTTCTGGATTTTGATTCAGATGAAATGAGCGGATTTAATGATGATTCCATTGTTGGACTCAAAGTGCAAGACTGAATTAATGTTTCATTTTATAATTAGGATATCAGAAGTGCAATTACGAGAAAATATTTCCAAAGATTTGAGAATTCTAAAATTATCATTACATTGTGTGTATCTTACAATTACTGGAGCATGGGCAACAGTTTGTCGGTTCACAAGGTTGTCTCCAGAGTAGAGTTTCTTGTTTACATAGAATAGTGTGAGGGTGTTTGGGACAAAAGTGGATTTTAATTGTGCTTGTGGCATACTGACTAAAATGTTCCAGAACTGACCAATACTATATTTACTGTTAATGAGGAATAATGTCTGTGGCATGGATACAGCTAAGGTTGATAAGCTAATGTGTTCCTTCTCTGTTGTGATCTGTTGTGAGGAATAACCTTTGTTGAAACAACTAAAATGACTATGAGAGCAGAACAAAGAGTTTACTTTGTTACATGAAAGTGAGAGTTGGGTATGTCTGGAGAAAGATAATGTTTTATATCACACAGTGGGGTCCTTAGGAGTATGTGTGGTAAAAGAAGATAAAGAATAAAAACTGTGTGGTTGGATGGAGTTGATGAGATCCACTGAAAGGAAGAAATGAGATTTTTTTTAAAAAAAATCTCATTTCTTCCTTTCAGTGGATCTCATCAACTCCATCCAACCACAAAAGTGAGAGTTGGGTATGTCTGGAGAAAGATAATGTTTTATATCACACAGTGGGGTCCTTAGGAGTATGTGTGGTAAAAGAAGATAAAGAATAAAAAATGAATAGATACCGAATGAATTTGGATTGAATACAAAAGCAAATGTCCAGAATTAAATAAAATGAGATAGGTTAATCATAAAGAGAGAATAAATGAGGACTGGATTGCAGAACAGCTATATGAAGGAAAAGGGAATGGCTTGAGGGGAAAGGGAAGACTAAGAAGGTTGTGGTTGGATGGAGTTGATGAGATCCACTGAAAGGAAGAAATGAGATTTTTTTTTAAAAAAAGAGTTTGAATCTATATGTAGATGTGGTGGAAGCAAGGATTGTTTGGAAGGACAGAAAGTTAGGAAGAGGTATAGTAAAATGGTGTTTGCATAAACTATAGTTAGCTGTATTTCCTTTCTTTTTCTTTTATCTCATACCTTTTCTTTCTCTTGGCATTTCTTATTACTTTGTTTTGCAGTGTTGCTTGTCTTGAAGGGGAATCACATGATAGGTATCTTTTATATGTATGCGAAATTTGATTGACCAGCACTTTTCCTCTCATTGTCTAATCAATCATCCTGTATTTCAAATTCACAGACTATGTTATACAGTACTGAGGATTAAATATACTGAAATGAATAATTGGATACATTTACTGGCTCTCCAGATATCTCTGTGATAAACTGTGCCATCTAATTTAATCGGAGTTTTAAAAATGTTGCAGTTTAGCAGTTCTTAATAAAAGTAGTAGCACAATAACTTCAGAAATGATCAGTGTATTTCACACAGATATTTAAGCACCTAGCATATATGTCTACAACAACCCTTTAAGAAAGGGTAGTATTTTTATCCAATCTTACTCATAAGCAAGCTACTATCCTAGCCTTCCAATCTTGCCAAGTGAATTCATGGTTCAAACTGAAAAATTGACTAGAATCTCCAGGATACCAAACACAGTTGTGCTACATCTTATACTTTAATCTATGATCCTTAAGATTTATGTATTCATAAATTCAGTTCAGGTTCAAGAGCTGACTTTCCTAGAAATTTGCAACTAAGAATCTCTTAACAGTTCCTAGAGAATTTATGCTTACGAAGCCTGCTGCCAACCCTTCCTCCACCAGGGGGAGCTGTAACGGGTGCCTTTGCACTGTGTGGCACCATGCAATATGTAAAAGAATATTCCACCTCTTTTTACTTCTGAACTTCTTACTTTTACTTACATCACTGGGAAACAACATGCAACACGTGAGCAGTATGGATACCAGCATGATAGGAACTTTATCCTAAATTAGTAAACAAACAGTCCAGAAACCAAACAACTCTCATCCCTCACCCTTCCTAAATGTGCTCGCTCTAATTGTTTCTGCCAATGTCTCATGTAGCTGATTGGTTGCTGCGGATATTCAGTCCCACTTTTTTTTTTTTGCTTTGCATCCTAGCATCTTTCTTCTCTTGGGTCAGATCACCAAGCTGCTTCTCAGCTCCTCCCAAGAACCAAACCCTAGCTCTTCACACCACATTGACTCAGGTGCCTGTCACAGCTCTGATATTCCTTGCCCAAAGCTTTGACCCTTCTCCATCTTTTATTCATGAATGGTCTTTCTGCCAGTAGAGAGGAAGGGCTCCCTGCTAATTCCAAATGCTCTTCTTTTCCTTTCTCCTTTCTCATCTTCCCTATCTCTTCCTCATCACACCCCAAGTTGGGATCTTAGGGAGCTGGGTTTCTCTTTGCCCTCTTTCAAACAATCTTCCTTTCCTCCAATTGCTTCTCCTCCCATTGCTGACTTTTAGGACCAGTCAAACTATAACCTGGCATCTGCATCCTTTGCAGGAAAATGTTCATCTTGCTTGTCAAAATCTGTGCCTCCATTTATTTACCTTAGAATATGGGTGGCCACATACATCTTTTTGAACAAAGAAATAAGTTAATAATATAAAGTTATCCTGTTTCCTGCATCCTACAGACTAATTAGCTGACAACATTAACTTTTTTCCCAATTTTGGGTTGCATTTATAAACTGCATTCACATATTAAAAATACTTAATTTTATACAGAACTATGTATAAAATATATACTATCAGGCAAGGTGAATAATTTTGGGGTAAGCAAACAGTTTGACTTTGAATAAAAAATATAAAGCTGTAGAGCTGTTCTTAATTCTGGTTTCCTTTGTTATGAATTAGTTTGGTTGACATCATGAACCACATAGCTTCCTGCTAAGTTGGTGTATGCTGTAAATTACACAGATTCTTCAAATAACTTCAAAAACTATTTTATTAGTGGTGTCTTTGTGACAAGGATGGAAAAGATCATTTTAAGTACTATTTGGGTAGTGAGATATAACTTGTAATAAATATCATTCTGTTTGAAATAACCAGTATTGACCTGTAAAACATACCATGTTTTGTAAAATATATTTCTCCTTAAAAACATAGTAATTATATGAAATATATATTTATCTGTATCAAATACAAATTCTGCATGAGATATCAGCAGAAAAACATTTAATTTTTGAATTATAAAACATAATGTTAACTTAATGTTAACAATGAAAATCATTTTTCATTTTTTTCCCCCACAGGCAGAACTCATAAAAGGAAATTCACCAAGTATTGGACTGACTCTCCGTCAAGTGCAGGCTAAGGAAGGAGAAACAGGTCACGTTGTCATTGAGACTGTAACACCAAACTCTGCTGCTGCTGCTGCTGATCTTCAGAGGGGGGACAGATTATTATCTATTGGAGGTATGCAGTGAAACTACATGGACTATACTTAATAAGGTTTACTAAGCTGTATGCAATTTGGAAACTGCTTAGAAGGTATAAAAATGAAATGACACTATGGAGAAATGTATAAAAAAGAGCTTCAGCCATCCTTCATCACTCATCACTCAGCAGGATCATAAAACATTGTATTGTATTGAGGACAATAGTGCCTTAATGAAGAGAATGTCATAACTTGTCTTCAGATGCATAAGTCCATAATGATATTTTAGTGTAGTTTTTACTGTAAAATTACTGGTTATCCTTATAGGTATATTTTCCTCCTTAACACTGAAGGGACCTTATTATTGGAGAATAAAAAATACATAAATATTTCAGGAAAACTCACATCAATATTTGGTACCAACCTTGGCAGCTGTTGAGGAAATATTTTTCACTTCAGTACAAGAGAGACAAACAATTAAGTGTCTAGGTAACTATTTCTATAAGATTCTTTGTTGTACAGAAGAGTTTCCTGTATGTGATGTTTATGTAGAGAGTAGCAAATTTGATTTAGTTTTAACTCTCTAAACCTTTATTATCTGTTGAATTGTATTATTTTGTGTTGATACTGTACATGTTTTCTTAAAGAATGATAAATTTTATTTGTATTGTATTTTTATTTCTCCTTTTCTCTGAGACCTCAGAGAATATATATTTTATCTTTACAATACCTTGTAAAGGTATTGTATTATTTTGTGTTGATACTGTACATGTTTTCTTAAAGAATGATAAATTTTATTTGTATTGTATTTTTATTTCTCCTTTTCTCTGAGACCTCAGAGAATATATATTTTATCTTTACAATACCTTGTAAAGGTATTGTATTATTTTGTGTTGATACTGTACATGTTTTCTTAAAGAATGATAAATTTTATTTGTATTGTATTTTTATTTCTCCTTTTCTCTGAGACCTCAGAGAATATATATTTTATCTTTACAATACCTTGTAAAGGTATTGTATTATTTTGTGTTGATACTGTACATGTTTTCTTAAAGAATGATAAATTTTATTTGTATTGTATTTTTATTTCTCCTTTTCTCTGAGACCTCAGAGAATATATATTTTATCTTTACAATACCTTGTAAAGGTATTGTATTATTTTGTGTTGATACTGTACATGTTTTCTTAAAGAATGATAAATTTTATTTGTATTGTATTTTTATTTCTCCTTTTCTCTGAAACCTCAGGCATATATATTTTATCTTTACAATACCTTGTGAGATAGACTGGGCTGAGGGAGAGTGACTGTCCCAGGGTCAGTCTGTGAGCTCTGGGGTTGGTTGGAGACTTGAACCTGGATCTCCCTACTCCTTCCTTTACCACTACACTGCACCTGTTGTAGCCTTGGGAATATGATTATTATGATGATTATTATTTACCCCTCCATCACCTGGTTGGTTGGTTTTGTGCCTTCCTGTCAGTGCTGACTCCTGGCGACTGCCTGGACTAATCCCTGCAGTTTTCTTGGCAACGCTTTTGGAAGTGGTTTGCCATTACCTCCTTCCTGGGGCTGAGATAGAGTGACTGGCCCAAAGTCACCCAGTTGTCTTTGTGCCTAAGGTGGGACTAGAATTCACGGTCTCCCAGTTTCTAGCCTGATGCCTTAACCACTACACTGAACTGGCTCTCCCTCCGTCAGCAGTCTTAGTCTAAATAGGATTTTTGTTATAATGCAAATGATAATTGCTCTACTTCCTATTTACATCTATAGTAATAACATTGATAAGGAATTAATTCATAGGACAGTCCCAATTATTTTCTGTATGGGAGGGAAACAGACTGCATGGCTTCTCCTCTGGGCAGCACCCTCAGATTAGGTGTTTGTCAATTACTTACAGCAAATATTAATTATAATTATTTCTCTTTTTTTTTAACAGGAGTCAGAATTACATCAACAATACAAGTGTTAAAACTTATCAAACAGGCTGGTGAAAGAGTCACCATATTTTATGAGAGACCAGTTGGCTATTGTCAGCAGACTCCACTAGCCCAGGATAATCTTTCACAATTGGAAGAGTCAACATTTTCAGATGAATATTTGCTGAATGAGATAGATAGCAAAGAATTAGATATAGAATTTGAGGACTTGGCAAATGCAATAAAGTCAAGTGAATTCAAAGATGATTCTTCAACCAGTCCCAAGCATATACCAGTTTCACTTGCTGTTAAACCAGCTGGAACTGTATCTCCAGTATTAAATCGCAAGTTACATCTAGGAAGTCATCAGACATCTTCAAGGGCACTTTTCAAAGAGGCAGCCAGACAAGCGATGCTCAAAAATCCTGAGAACCTGGATACAAGTCAGCAGACAAACAAACAGCCACAGATAAATGTAACCAAACCACCTGTACCACCCCGGCCACAGCTTAAAGTGTCAACAGTTTCTAATGAAGTTCAAAATAAATTAGAAACTGGTGACTTATCTTCTGAGAAAGTAGACAAGCTCCCTCCTCCTGCAAGTAATGGAGATAAGAGTTCAGAAAAGGTCATCAGAGTTATTGATGTAGGAGAAGAATCTACAGGATCCAAACCAGTTGCAAACAAACCAGAAATAACTAAGGAGCCTTCAGAAATTTCACAGAGTCCTAGAACAGCTATAAATAAATCAGAAATATTGAAGGAAACTACAGAATCTCAACAGAATATTAAAGCACCTATCAATAAACCTATTGCAAACAAATTAGAGCTATATAAAGACATTTCAGATTCTTCACATTCTTCACTGAATTCTAAGGCAGTAGAAAACCATAATTCATGGGAATCACCAGAAATTCCTTATCGTAATCGAGCAGGTAAATGGGCAAGGACAAAGGGCTCTTCCTACATATTTGAAGTAGGAAAAGAACATACCTACCTAAATATTGGTATTTGGTGTAGAGACCCTTTCAAACTAGGTGGGCTGGTTTGTTTAGGATATGAAAGCATAAAACTTGAAGACATAGCTTTAGATTGTATAGCTACATCTTCTATGGAATTCTTTAGGCTATTTCGATTAAATCCTCCTGCACCTAAAGCCGCAGTAACTAGAACAGCATTGCGTACTTTGATTTCACACAAAGGTTTCAATGAAAAGTTTTGTTATGGTGATGTCACTATACATTTTAAATATTTAAGAGAGGGTGAACCTGAAGACTCAAGTTTTTTGTTGGAAAAAGAGAAAGAAAATATTTCAGAAGAAGCAGCAGCTCCTGTTCTTTCAAAAGATGATCCTTACTTTGGACAAATTACTTACACTGAAAATAGGCATAATTTCCAAGATACTCAGTTTCAGAATCCAACTTGGTGCGACTACTGTAAAAAGAAAGTTTGGACAAAAGCTGCATCACAGTGTGTGGTTTGTGCATATGTTTGCCACAAGAAATGTCAAGAAAAGTGTCTAACTGATGCTCCCTTCTGTTTAGGAGCCACAAGACGGCTTGAGCGAGCTCTACACCCTTTTAAGTTTGAAAACCAAGATTCTCAGTCCACACAAGGAACTCGTGTTGATTCAGAATTGAAAACTACAAATAAAGCAACAGGTCTAACAAGACACATCATCAATACAAGCAGCCGATTCTTAAACCTCCGTCAAGTTCCTAAAGTTCGTATTAATGAACAAGGACCTGACGTGATAGAACCTTCACCAAAGCAGACACCACATCCTTCAGATAATGAAGGCAGTGATACAGAAACTGGTGCCCCTAGTAGTCCTTCCAAGCAAATACCCACTCCAGGAATTAAGTTACCAAGGAAGGAAGGAGGACTTGATGATAGTGTTTTCATTGCAGTGAAAGAAATTGGCCGGGATCTTTATAGAAGTTTACCTACAGAAGAAAGAATCCAGAAATTAGAAATTATGTTGGAAAAACTTCAGTACGAAATAGACCAGGAACTGGAAAACAACAATTCTTTAATTAGAGAAAAGAAAGAAACAACAGATACAAGGAAAAAAATACTATTGGCTGCTGCATTGGCTAAATCAGGTGAAAGATTGCAAGCCCTGACACTTCTTATGATTCATTATAAAGCTGGCATTGAAGATATAGAAGCTTTAGAAAATACAGCTTTAGAACTTGGATCTAGAAAAGAGGATAAAGATGAAGAAGACAACAACTTAGTGGAAGAAACAGATAATGAAGATGAGGCCGCTTTAGTAATGGCGCCAGTGCTTGAAACCTTACTAAAAGAAGAAGAAAGACTTGAATCCCAGAATGTGTCCGTAGACTGATATTGCACATTTGGCCTTGCATATTATACACTGGGAAACACTTTGCACTTAATCAAACTACATCAGATACTTCAAAATGTAATTAAACACTGATATAATATGTACAAGCTGCTTCTCCATTATTTTCAAACCCATGTAAGGAAATGGCTTTTATTTCCAGGTACAATACGATTTTGTTTTGTTGAGCCATGTTACATTTAAATAACATTTTGGGGCTTTATGCTAGATGATTTTTAATTTATTTGAACTTTTTTTTCTAAAATGTATTTCTGAAATATATTAGGGTAAGTTGTAAACCTGTACAAAGCATTCAGAGGGATGCTTCACAAAGTGGGTTGGCATGCTTCAAGGCAGCCACCTCCTCCATAAGGTTCAGCATCACCGTTCTGAGGGCTTTCTCAAGTCGTCTCCGCAGACACGTTCACCCATAGCCCGTTTCCTGGCAATCTCAATGGAAATGTTGTCTTCTGAAGGGCATGGCTGCCTCCGTGTTTCAAGAAAGAGCCCTTTGCTCACACCAACATGCTTTCTGAATTGCCTTTGAAATGCTTTATACGGTTTCTGTTCTCATTTCTGTTCTTTTCATTATTCAGTTTTAAAGCTTCGCATTTTTACTTTGCACTCAGATTAGAACTACTGTAGCGGCTGCTAAGGGGTCAGTTTTGAAGACTTTTGTTACGCTTTGCCATTTGCTTATTCAGTATTTGGAAAGGGGATTGGGAGTTTCAGGGGTTTTTTTGTTTTGCCAATGATGCATTATAGATAACATGCCTTTATTTTCCATTATTTGGTAACATTAGTATTATTTCAATGTTTGATTTCTATGATTTTCTTTCACAGAGAAGACTGAATTTTTTGAAAAGGCAATTTATGCCTCACTCTTTCCTTCTGTGGATTTATTAGAATCTTTAGCTGGGAAGGACCTTTAAAGCACATATCATTGAAACAACCCTCAGCAGATTCTCATTTCCCTGATCAAAAATGTCCGTAGGCATTAGGTTTTGCCTATACATATACTATACCAATGTTTTATAGAAATGTATTGAAAACGTGCCAGCAGGTTTTTGTTTGTTCATGTAAACTGTAGATGGAAGCTTCACAGAATATACCCCTTCTATAATGTAATAATGTTAAGCACCTGTGAGAAAATTTAAAATTTAATGGTAGCCTTACCAGTTTATTTTTGCTAGAGAATTTATGATTTAAGAATTAATGTTTTAAAGGATAAAAAAATTAACACTAAAATGAGTTACTCTCCAGTGGCTGTGGTGATATCTTGCACAAAAAAATGACAGATGCTCAGCAATTTAAGATGTTTTCCCTCCACTGGATCCTGAGCCCAACTAAACTAAAATAAACTTTTCCACCTTGTTCTGGAAAAAAAAATATCAGTTGACCTGACATGAGGATTGTTCGTTAGGGTCATTTAGGTGTTTCAGACCCATATTTCTTAATGTTTTGTGTTTATGTACTTACTCATTATTTTTGGCACTGCTATAAAAATCACTTTTTATAAAGTTAGCATTCTAAATCACACCTACCTTGACTAACAAGCAACCGCTCGAGCTACTGCACAGAAATTGTTTTACTGTTACGATGAGAGTGAACAGCCTCCCGACATGTTTAACCTTACAACTTGTTCTTACAATTAAAAAACAAACCGTTGAACTGAATAGCTGCCAAATTAACATAATCCATATTTTTTTAAAAAGGCAAACATTTTTAAGTATTTGCCCAAATGAACCAATAATGTTCAATCAACGCTGTATTTAAAGGATATTATCTTTCAAAATTCATCAGCTTAACAGAAGTTTGCATAAACTAGGACATTTTCCCTTTAGCTTCTGTCCAGGTACTAATTTGCTAATGACAGTACAGTTACAGGAATACTACAGTTATGAGGTTTACTGAACTAACATCGTATAGTTAGTTACCAGTTAATGAAAGGGCATGAAAAGGTGGGTATTAGTTCTCCACTAGGACGATTGTATAATGTAAGTTCAATACAGTACAATATTCTAACTGTTGTGTGAGAATGGCAGCAACATACTAGTATGGTAGCATCAAGGAAAACATAAAGAATAGAATTATAATAAATACTGTTTTTAAGGAGCAACTATTAATACATTCCTTTTATATCCTTTGCTTCTCTGCTTTACTCTACAGAGCTGAAAATAATAAATACCACTGGAACAAGAATATCTTGATGTGGTGGTATGTTATTACTTGACCCTTGCATATATTTATGGAAATCTGCCTGAGATGATTGTCAGATGATTTTATCATGAGAACAAGCTTTAATAAAAGTTTTTAAATAAATTCTGTTTCTTTGTTACAAGCTGTTAATATTTAAAGAATATTTTAGCACATAACTGATGCTTTTTTTTTTTTTACTCCAGCCTATTTTCTAGAACAATAGCTTCCAACATATTCAGTGAAACTTTTCAATTTTGTGGAAGGGTTGTAGATGAAAGATAAAAAGCTTGTTTATCTGTGAATGATAGTAGGCTTATTCCTTGATAGGCCTCGGTAGAGTTAGGAAAGCCCGCTCAATAAAATCTTTTATGGACCCTTTCCCATCCTGGTTTCTGCCTGATGTTTTTCACTTCAGTTCTCATCAGACCCAGCCAGGCTTGTCTGTAATCAGAGGGCTCCAGATTGGGAAAGGCTAGTGGAGAAACAGAGAACTAGGTGGCCCAGTTACATACGATAAGTACTTGCCCTTCTTTCTAGTAACACATTTTCTAAGAAGCTTCTCTACATTTGCAATACTGTATGCTACAGAGGATTTAAGGTTGTGAAATACTTATTCCTTGATTGAGAAATTATTGATAAATCTGAGGAACTTAATTAAAAATCATAAATTAAAACATCGCCTTGGGGTGATTAAACAAGTTTATCTACAAAGTAAGTGCAATGGGGTTGTTTGTTTTCATAATGATGTTCCTATTAGACTTTTAATGACAGAATTCTTAAACATACTGTGTAATGCAACTCCTTAGTTGTAGCAAACTAATACCAAATATTACAGTACTAAGGGATATGTTTAATATCACCATCTCATAGAAGCAGTTCTGAATGCTTAAATATGAAAACTTGTGTTATTCTCCAGTAGGGTTATCACTACTGTGACAGTATGACTTTTGACAGATACCATTATCTGAAAACCTGTTACTTCCAAACACACCTATTGGAGTGAAAAAGCTCATATTTTTAAAAAGAAGACTTTTTAAGACTGTATTAAGAAGAAGACTTATCAAAAACAAACAATTATGTGTTTTGAAAAATGTACAAGGAAAACCAGAATATCAGTAAGTAGATAAATATAAATAAAAGTTATATTTTGTAGAAGAATTGTTAAATTCAGCATAATGTGTTTAGATATGCAAGGCAACTATATTTCAAATAATACACTGCATAGAAACCAAATACAGATTAAGATAAATACTGTTCTCTGTAATAAAGGTACCACTGAAATAAATGTTAGTTATAAAAGTTATACAAGAAAGATTTGATTATTAATGCCAGGTGCCAAAAGTAAAATGGATTAGAATTAAATTGGTTAATTGCAATAGCACCTAAGGCGTACCTGAGGTTTACTCTCAAGTGGCAATGTTTATAGTAAGAGGCACTTCAAATATTTAGGAAAAAAATGAGTAATTCGAATCTCTGTCTCAGAATGTTCTGACCCAGGAATCTCTAGCACCACTTATTGTCTACTGTGCTAACACAAGAAGGGCAACTGTGAGGGAAGAATGATGTTTGAAACTCTCCTAATCTTTCACAGTGGTGTTTTGTTTTGTTGTTCAAAACTTCCTATCCATAATTTAGGGAGTCTTTCCAAGAGTTGTGGATTCAGAGTATTTCTTTATCTGCCCAACATTTGAGTTTAGGGGGACAACTCTGCAAGTTGGTGAGAAATTAGAGGAATCATCAAGTGCCTTTCTTTCTATACACTTCTCTCACTTGCATATACACATACATACATAGAGACACCTATTTAATTGTCTTCATCTAAGATAAGGTTTCGTAAGTTTATGTGAAGGGAGCTGTTGACTCTTCAACATATGGAATGATTACAAAAAAAAAAATGTTTTCCCTGCCCCAAAATCCACATGTGCAAACAACTGTGGATTTAAAGCACTTTCTCTGAAATTCAGCACAGTCATTTTGAGAACTGTCATAGCAATGGGGCAAGGGGACCAAGACTTGGTGTCTTGCCTTTCTGTACTAATTGGCACATAAACAGTAGTGAAACATCACATTGTACCTTTTATTTATTTCACAAAATAACATTCAATTCTTATTTTCTGTATAACAGAACAATAACAATTCATCTAAAGTATTTCCAAAACTTGACCAAAATATATGTTTTATGCACGGAAATGACACGCACAAACACACACTTTACAAAACTATATAAAGTTTCTGCTTTAAATACAAACCATCTGTTGATACATTAGAAAAGGCACAGCAATCAAGTTTACAAACGGTGTTATGTATACAACACTACATAAATATTTGATACTTACATGGTCTTACATTTGTTGGACTTTTATTTTCACAACTAAGGCCATAATCCATGGGCTCATCTCAACACTGAGAGAACACTGCCACAGGACTCAATAGATTGCAATATAGACCATTATGTATTAAGAACCAGAACGTTTTCTGCCTCCCATTTATCAAACCACCCAGTCTTCAAATCTGTTGAACCCTGTTTTGCATATTTTCTTCAAAAGCACACTATGATGCAGACTCTCATTCAAGGAAAGGTGTTAATCCACTTCCATCTGCTGATGTCCAAAAGATAGTTAGAAACAAAGGAGTCACTCTGTGAATAGACTTTGCATGAATTTCATTTCATGCAGACACCTAAACGTCTGACAATGTTAAAAGGCAGGTATGTCCTATAACTTTTTAATTTGCAAAAACAAAACAAACTTTAGAAAAATAAAATTTTATAGTACAAATCTACTAGGGAATATAACTGCCTGGCCTTCCTTTTGATAATCAGGTAGCATTTTTAAAAAACAGATCTCATATACGGGAGTTCAAATGCTGGCAGTTTTGTTTCTAGTTTAAATAGGCACGTATTAGAACAGTTTTAGCAAGGAGTATGCAGAGACTAATGGTGCAGCTTGAGGATTAATCTTAAGCTCCAGAAACAGACTGATCTGGTATAGCCATTCCATTTTGACCTTTGGATCGGAAACAAGATTTGGGTGGGTGGGTGGGGAACAGAACTGCAGCCTAACATGGGGAAAACTGAACTTGTGATCAGTTTGTTTCTTCATTAAATGGGATAACGGCAGAAAAACTAAAGCTTCGTGAGATGAAGCATGCCAAACTATAGAAATTGCTACAAAAGTTTTGGGGCTATATTCCTTTAAAATTTAATTTCTTATTTTAAAATGTCTCAGTGTCAGATGTTATTTTGTGATATAGCATGTTCAATTTTGTAGCATCAGTAGCTCCCTTGAAGGGAATCATCCAAACTGAATTTTGAATAGATGGGGAATATAAATTGAAGAGATCCTTGTAAAGAATTTTCCTTGTCTATGGAGAGGTTCATTGCTTGGGGCCAGGTCAGGTACCTGACACAGCTCGAAAGCATAAACCATGCAGCAGCTAAGGATGAAAGACTGAATTAAAGTGAGCCACAGCTCATAGAGGACATGATATAATTAAAGGTGCTTCTTCAGTTCCTTCCATGTAAATGACAGAAAGGGTTGCTGCATTATCACTGTTGCAGCAGGTTAAAGCTCCAGATAAAAAATCAAGGCTTGCCTATCCATCCCAGGGAAATAAAAACCTATTCTGAATTATCATGTTTCAACTTGGAATCTGGGGCTTGTCTGAATCTGGTGCACACTCTAGTTCACGCCTACATAAAAAGAGTATAAGCAGAAATCGTATATCTCAACTTTCTTTCTGTATAATTTTGGATGTAATTAATGGCATGCCACCATAGTAACAGTTATTTGAAATTTACATATTCAAATAATGCACTAGACATCAATGTTTAAATGAGGATAAGACACCAGATTTGGACAAGTTAGAATGAAATGAAAGAAATACAACAATTTTCAGTATAATATCTTATTATTTATCAGTACCAATGCCAAATTAAGATGAACCAATTAATTACTTATATCAAATTTCTCTTTCCCAAACGTTCCCATAGTTTGCAATGAAATTGATTCTCTATTAGCTACATAAGTTTTGTTCACTTTACATCATTTTTAATTAGGGTAAGTGTAAAGGAAAGTTTATAGTTTCAAGCAAAGCTAATTTGAAAAGTGCAAAGTATTATAACTTTTTTTTAAAATATACAATCTGATAATTTATAATTGATAGTTTCAGGCACTCATTGCTGCAATGAATTAAATGAAAATGTATCATAGGGAAATGTTTGTGAACTAATATTTTAAAGGCATGGATCTAGATTGAGATGTATACATTTACAACAAAATGCCTAATGTTAAACACAAAGTTTTAACGTTATAACAAAATCTTCTAAAATCTTTTTTTATAAGGCAGTGGGTACTCTTGATCAAGGGCAACAAATAATTATACCTTTGGTTTCGTTTTGTTTTACAAGTTCACAATTAAAAGTACAGTACAACTAAAACTTTCTGATGAGATGTTTCACAGGAAAAGTCTGCTGTATCATTGAACTACCAGTACCGGCTTTTAAACATTATTCATCACTCTCCGAATCTTCATCATCACCACCTAACTGATGTGACTGGATGCTGTTCTGTGTGTACATTTTGGTTTTAAAATGACAGTTATGATCCATAAGTATTGCCTATAAAAGAATAGAGCTATGATTATAATATTACTATGATAATATTACCAAAGTATTATTGTATTGCTCTGCAAAACAACAGAAGACTTCAAGGCCAGTGTCACTTAAGCATATACAGCATAGGATTAATTTTCAGAAGTTAAACATATTTGCCTGTTTTGTACTAGCCTAATTAGTGTTTAGCTTTTAATATAAAACACTTGATGTAGGTATCCTGCTCACTAAATATAATAATACAAAACAGTTTAACCTAATTCCTTGTGAATTAATCTGAAGGAAAGCTAGAACTGCAGGCATTAGTTATCTACAATAAAAAATGCATCTTACTTAGATATATACTATTTCAGCTATGTGGACATGCTGTTTCCTAGATGTCAGTCCAAGCAAATATAGGGGTCTTGGTCAGCTACCAAGGAGCAGCAGTTAAGAATGTAAAGGTCAGCTGTCCCTAGTGTGAAATTATCCAGATAATTGGCAGAATATCTATTCTTCAATCATTCTGTTCCGTGTATATGCTAGATGGTTAAAGATATATTTTACAGAAAAGTAAATGACATAACACCCTTGTAATGTATTTAAAAGCAGTCATGATGATTATTTTGTTGCAGAAAATATAGACACAGAAGACATGCTACAAAAGATGTTCTGTATTGAGTCCAGAGAAGAAATAGCTCTGTGCTTACCATCTTTTCTTCCTTGGCAGGTGGACTACGCAGAAACAAACACAGGGGAGCAAAGAGAATATCAATAATTCCTATAATTGTCATGAGCCATGGAAACCCAATTGACTTTGCAATAGCACCACCAACAGATGGACCTTTGGAAATACAAGTTGTTTAACAAAAAGAAAAAAGAAAAAGCTGAGGACCGTCAAATAAGGAAAAAATAAGACCTGATCTAAAACATTGGGCCACTTCATGCCTAACACTAAGTCAGAGATCAGACCAGTATGCCAATTCAAACTGCCTGATTGCTTTCAATTGGCCCCTCCTACAAAAATGAGAAAGCAGTTACCTATGTTTATCTTTAATTAGCATTACATAAAAACCTGGATGACAGATTTCATCTAACATGCTGCAAATTGAAGCCAGGTTTCTTTAGGAATGCCAAGGGATCCCATTTGGCATACAAAGATAAATATGCCATAGACTAAGACTTATTTGTTTAGCCACACTCCTAATAGAAAGGGGACCTAAACAGGAATGATTGACAATGTGCACCAACGCATTTGCTCATAAGATGTTCTGTTATGCAGGAAACCAGAATACTCTGAAAGTATAATCAGATCTTTAAAATGTGAGCAAACATAGCTTTCTGATTGCTGCCTACTGAAATGCTTAGTATAATGTCCTCGCTTCATTACCATAGTTCTCATAATTTCATGAATTGAAGAGTGGGGAAAAAAACTCAGTTAATTCTCGCCCTAACTCATCCTTTTTGCCATCATCAGGCTATTTTTCTGTAGCTTGCTTTCAGAAAGTTTCAACAGCAAAGTGGAGACCCTAAGTCCCCAGGGTGCCCCTCCTGATTTTCATTCATGCCTTGGGACTCCTCCCAGTTACTAAAAATAGGTAGCATGGCTTCCTAGTATTCTGGGGCAGGAAAGGCAAGAAAGGTTTAATGGAAGCCCTAGAACAGTATTTCTCAACCTTAGCAACTTGAAGATGTCTGGCTGGGGGGGAATTCTGGGAGTTGAAGTCCAGACATCTTCCAAGTTGCTAAGGTTGAGAAATACTGCCCTAGAATAAGCTTTAAATAGTTCTTCAGCATGAAACAAAACAGCCTTCAATGGTAACCCCCCCCCCCAAAAAAAAATCCTGGCCTTCTCAAACAGTATTTGAAGCTTTATATATAAATTTTGGTAGTAATTCAGTATATTTTTAAATAGTAACCATAGATTTGTGGGGGTGGGGATGGGTTAATACAAAACAGTGCAAAGATCTAAACGCTACAAACAGCTATTTTGATGTTAAGTGCATTTCAGATAAAACCCTTACCTAAAGCAAAACCCATGCAAAATGCAACATCTGCGATTGCATAAACACTCCCATAGACTGAAACATGACGCAGATCAACAAGGTAACCCATAATAGGCATCAATGAAGAATCCACCATCCCTGATTATAACACAGAAAAAAGAATATTTTAAGCAGGATCTCCAATTTTTCTCCAAAGTATATACCTGCAAAATAAAATTGCCACAAATTTTTGAAGGAAATATGTATGTGAATAGTGCCCAGTTTTATTGAATTTATTACAGAATTTTTAAACCAAAAGGTATTCTAGCAGTAGCAAAATCTTTTCCTTTCAACACAACACACTCAAAATTTGAAATAGGCTGTGCTTTGTTTACCAGAACTGGAACAATGACCTCAAAAGGTTTTGTAAGATCTTAAGAAGAAATGTTGCTTCAAATGTCCAATTTGTTTTATTCTAATAAGCCTGAGTTTGCCCCTCCAAAATGTGACTGTCTTTCCCAGAGAGGAACAGCCCAATCCTGCCTATTCTATAAAACTACCATACCACTCTCATAAACTTTGTCCTGGTAACAGGTGTAAAATCAGTGGGTTATGATAATCAGTACCAGATCTGAAATATAAAGCAAAAACCTTTAATAATTAACATCATGAATCCACCATCTAGTTTATTAATTCAATATCAAAGTTCTTCAACAATATATGTTTCCCAAAGTTTAGTTTCATATAATTAATTTTGTATCCCACTATGGTGCAAAATTCAAATAAAAAGTTGTCTTAAGACAAGTATATTATCTTCAACTGAGTGATTTTACACACCATTTAAAGTCAATGAATACTAATGTTTTCTACTAATGTTTGGTTCTATCTTGCCATAAACTGTCCTTAAGTCTCCTTATATTTGTGCCTGGATAGGCAGACAGATACATCAAGCCAGTAGAAGAGATATTGAACTCTAGCAGTTGCACCTGTGTTGCTGGACCATTTTTCAAGCCTTCTGCCATAGTACAGGAATACAGCATTTCAAAATAGAACTGTCTTGCTCTTGATAAAGCTGGTGCTACTGTAACTAACGCTCACCTTCATCTGCAAAAGCCTATGTATGAAAGGCAATGACATCTTTCTGTGAAGGATTCATCAAAAATGTTTAGCCTTTTCTGTTTACCCTATGTCCCGCTGCTTTGTACTAATGTGCAAGAGGATGAAAGCTTCTACTAAATTTAAAACCAATAATTATATACTAGAGTCAGTTATCCGTGAGCTACTTTTGCTATAATTAAAGATAATTTATTAGAATATAATCAATCCAATATTATTCACTAATGTCAAGATATCATTATACAAATTCTCTACCCCGTAAAGACTCTTTATATTCTACAGAATGACATATGTATATCTAATTATTGCACCATCTGTCACATCTGTTATGATACAATAAAAATGTGTTTAATTTTCCTGCTGGCAGCACAGTCTAACATCATTACGCAGAAACAGAATAGGATTCCTTATGTCTCTTATGTACCGATAGTCACTGCTGTATTTACTTCTTTTGTAGATTCCAAATGATGCAAAATACTGCTTTTTGAAAGGAAGCAGCAGTAAAGCATTATGTTTCGTTAACGTGAACACTAATTAGCTCTATCTGCAATGTTTTTAAGGTTTTGTATACTTTCAGAAACCATGGCCAAGCCACAGGTTTCCATATATTACAATGGTTAATGCATATTGCTGCATGCAATCTTCTTAGAACATTGGAATCTTAACTGTGCTGAGCACTTGTAAGTAATAACAATGAGGTAGGTTCCTTATGTTAAAGCCATCATATTTCACAAATATACATGCATCTCTTGTATTCAGAATCCAGTCAGGAAGGAGATCCAAATTACTAGATGGTACCACGTTGCAACTTAATTAAAATCTGAAATATAAAGTAATGTATCTGGGATTGCAAAGCAATCCCATAATCCAGTTCAGCTGTTTTCTATGTTACCTCTTCTATCACTGTCCAACCTAAACATGAGGTGTATCTCATGTATCTCCCCTTATTTCACAGAATCATACATACAAATAGTCTGGATGCATCTGTACACAGGAAGATAATGTCCTCTTTCAAATTCATTTAATGTAATTGTGATAGAAATCAAAACCTATATATCACTCTACTGATATCTACTGTATGTAAAAGTAAAGATTCTGCGTAACACATTAAACAACAGAATGTAACTTTGCATACTCTTTAACCAAATTTCCACCCTTTTTTTTCCCCTTACCAATGGCAAAGCCAACTCCAAAATTTGGTGCTATGAGTCCGTATATGTTTTTAGCAAACGGTACCTGGAAGTAAAAGAAACAAAATGAAGTATCAACGTATCGATACTGGATGTGTTTTTCATTAGATGAGCAGAAAACCTCTATCAGCTTGAGGGCTCTGCTAGGTTTTGCGTGGCACATGAGGAACCACAGTAAATGAGGCATCAATGTTGCCCCTTAAAGTTTCCAAACCAAAATTTTTGGCACCACCAACTTGGGGCGGAGACACCAAAAGGCAAGGCGGTGAGGCATACCTTCTAGACACCTGCATTAAACTTATTAAGGTCATGCAGCGTATCATTCCTATGTTTGGTATAAGATTCAAATAGTATTTACATAATGTTTTAGTTTAAAGTCAGTGTACAGGTTTTAATAACATCAGTTACACATACAAAGTCTTCAGCTGTGGGGATTGGAGCACTCTGGTGGGTATGTTTTCATACTACAGTTTCTAACAGTGTGGGAACTTGGTGCTAATGGTTTTTGTTTCATGTGAGTTCTGCAGAACCATATTTTTTTAGAATTATGTTCCTAGAATTTTGTCCATTTGGAATAATAAAGAATCTTTATTGTACATAAAACTTAATTTTACATAAAGTTTAAAAACCTAGATTGTCCAAGGATTTACATCTGACTGTACATTTCTCCCATATTTACAACACAAATACATGATGCACACAAAAACACAGATATGCTAAAATGTGCTTCAGTAAACCTGAGACATGCCACATAGGATAAATATGGAATTAATTCAATAGAATTCAAGTCTAACTGCTTCTATTTTATATAAGAAAAAACTGCATTTTAAAAAGTGGCACCATTGTACTAAGAGACAGGGACATGTTAAGGCTCAGAAATGCAAACTAGAAATATTAATGATGGCAAGATTTCTAAGTGTTGCTGACACAAATGTAAAGAATAATATAATCAAGAGGGCATAGCTCATTTTTCATAATTCTTTTTCTCCTGAATAAAAGCAAGAGAATGAAATGGCTGCAATTTGAGATGTAAAAGGAGTTTCCCCTGGAAATGCTGTGAACACTAGTTTGCCCAGCATTCATCTTCCCTAAATAAAAAGTGTATGACAAAAAGATAAAGTAATGAGTATTAAGTGCAAATAGCAGTATTTATATATTTTAAAGTTTATATGTTTAAAAGAATTTACAACCAGGAATTTGCATTTTAAAAGCCTGCATTAAGAAAATGTACACAGCAAAAAAAAAAAAAAAAGAGGGCTGGACAATCTACATTAGAAAAATTTTGGACAATTTATTCAAGTGCATACTAGTTATAGAAATTAGGGGAAAACATTACAGTTTGTTTTAAAAACCTATAAAAATAGTTCCAGACCTGAATTCCACCCTGTTGGGATGAATAGTAAAGCAGACAGTATTTCTAATGATTTGCAGATGCCTCTTTATTGGTGTCAGATACAGATTGCACTAAGGCACAGTGGTTTGGGTTTGGGTTTTGTTTTTCGTTTTGCTTACCACTATGTGAGATCCCGTCCATCACGGTTTTTAAACCATAATTTTATAGGTTATAAAACACGTGAACCAAGCTGCTACAGTTTGTTCAATAATGTATCATTAAAACAAATCACACTTGAAACTCATGTGTAGAACCTACGTTAAATTCAAATTTACAAGCTGCTCTCTCAATTTTAATGAGCTATTTAGATCTGGCCAAATCCAGGATGTTGCTTCCTACTTCATTGTTACACACAACAAAAAAACAGAACGGAACAGAACTGGGTTTTTTGCAGTAACAACGTTTACTCACACACAGAATGCTTATTCCCACTATTATCATCCCAATTAGGGCACAAAGCCACCTGTGAAAGGAGAAACATTATCTTTTAGCCATCCAGAAACATAGACACCAAATGTATTTTTCTCATGCAATATTGTAGCTAACAGCACTATGTGACTTTAAAATAAAATTGCTTCAATTATATTATTATGAAAACCACAGGATGCTTTCACTAAGAATTAAGAAACACCCAAGCATTTAGAAAAGTTGTCCAGGAATTCAGTGTTTAAATTTAGCCTACCTTCCCATTTTGTGTGCAAGACCACCAAAAAGATTTGTTCCAATCAGATAAGAGACACTGGCTGGAATGAAAGCAACGCCTGAAAAATATGAATGGGTGTCTTATCAACAATGCTTTCAGTGAAGCATAGGAAAAAGTAATACATTCAGACACAGCCATTTTTATTAGAACATATCTAATGAAGGTCCACGGTCTGAACCAAAAAAAAAGAAAGAAAGAAAACCCTCTCTAATATCCGGGTTATTTCAATTCTTTTGTAATCTCAAACAAGATTATCTATCAGATTTAAATTGTAATTATATTTTTAAAAGTGTCCTCATAAGTTCATGTTTCTGTGGAGGTGAAGGAGTATATGCATCTATAGAACAAAGAAATAAAACATATTAATAAACATCAATAAACTTTGTTAAAAGGTGAATTAAACTGAAAAGTAACAAATAATTTAATAATAACTGATTTTTCCTAGAATTAGATCACAAATGAATCTACAACATTTAGAAATCCAAGTTTATAAAATAAAAATAATTTATTTATTTGGAATAAGGATATCAGTCTGTTGTTGCTACATAATGCAACTGAATACCTGTGGCTGGATAACAGGAAGAGAATGCTATTCTACTGATCACATCCTGCTTGTAGCATTCCCCATTCATATATGGCTAACCAGTGCAGAATACTGGCCTTGATAGGCCTTTAGTCTGAATCAGCAGACTTTTCTTCATTAACCCTGTTGGATCAGGCCAAGGCTCATTTCATTAAGTAGTACTTTTGGGATGTCCAACAAGCAGACAATATATCCCTCTCCTGCTCTTGTTCCTCTATAAATGATATTTGGTATTCCCCAATCTAGAGGTAACACGTGTGTTCAGAACAAATAGTGCTTGATAGATCTGTCTCCATGAACATATCCAACCTCCTTTTAAAGCCATACAAGTTAGTGGCTATCATTTTGCCTTCTGGTAACAAATTCCCCATGTTAATTGTGCATTCTATTAAAAAGTAACTTCTTATGCCTATTCTAAATCTCATTCCAGTCTGCTGATCCCTGGTCCTAATGTTTTAAGAGAGGAAGAAAAACCTATTTCTGTTCAGTTTCTACATATTATGCATTATTGCATACATCTCATTCATATCCTCTCTCTGCTGCCTGTTTCCTAAACAAAAGACTCCTAAAGGTTTTACCTTTTTTCATAGGGAAGGTGTTCAAGCACCCTGAGCAGCTAGGTTACCCTCTTCAGCACTTTTTTCTTCTATTTTTTTTTCCTTTCCAAAATGGTGGCCAATGCACGTTATTCCAGATGTAGGCATACCATATATTTGTAAAATTTGTTTTAATTTTTTTTTAATTCTTCATTTTAAAAAATACAGAATATAAGCAAAATACCAAGGTATATAACAATAACAAATTTAAACAATCTATACAAATAAAAATAATAAAAAACAAGAAGGAAAAAAGGGGGGGAGGAAATGAACACATTCTACCTTATATATTATAGTTAGTCACTGGCTTACAAATTTACCATATGGTGCTATATTATAATCAGATACAAAATATTATTGCAAAATGTCATACCATCTATGCCAAAGCAGAACATATTGCTTCATTCTTTGTTTAGAATGACAAATATTGCCTTTTCCGGGATGGGTAAGTTACACATTTCCAAAAGCTAACCCTTAATATCTGGAATATTACCACTTCTCCAATTTCTCAATATTATTCTTTTAGCCACCCTATCATGCATGGTGCGATCAGAATTCCTCACAGACAGTCAGATTTCAGAGCTTTGGTATATAATTCAAGACTCCATTAACATCTTTAACATTTAAATATTTCCCCATAGAACTACTTATATATATATTAAAATACTATTCCAGAAAAGTGTTAAGAATTCACTGGACTATATCATATGGGTCAATGAACCCTCAGATGTTTCAATTGCTCAGGTAAGGTATAGACTCTACGTGCAGCAACTTTGAAAAAGGCAAATCCCTTTTATAATGATCCCTAGTATAGAATAGCCTTTTTCAAAGCTGCTGCGCGTAGAGTCTATACCTTAATTGAGCAATTAATTAAGGAGAGTCCTGTGACCCCACACTCTTTTTCTGACTATTACAGATCTTTATACTTAAACTGAACCAGATTTGCTCTTTGCATTCCTCAGATTCCTGAAGTTGGAAAGAGCAATCTGAATCTGATCTATTGTCTACTGCCAGATCTGTCCTGAAGGCAAATTGTTCCAAATGTCTGAATCTCCCATTTTGAGAAGCCCAGACAGTGAATCTGTCTAGATTTGGGTAAGAGATAGGTTGAAAGGGAGAGTGCTTTGGTTGGGATTCTGAGTTGGCCTTTTCATTGAGCTATCTGCTGTGACCCCTGAGAGCTACAGTCAGTTCATATCCCATCTGTATATATGTAGACTTTGGGGTCCCAAGGCGCATCATTTCACACACTTAAATTGATCTTCATTTCCCACTTGGTTGATCATTTACCCATTTAAAGAGATCATTCTGGATTTCTTCACAATCACTCTTGATACTGTGAACAGTTTGGTTCATCTACTAATGTGGCCAGATCACTACCACTGATGAATAAATTTAAAGTTTCTGTTCCCAAACAGATCCTTAAGGGATTCCATGTTTTACTTCCCTCCACTTAGAAAACTGGCCACTTATTTCTACTTTTTGTTTTCTGTTTTCTAACTAGTTAGCAATCCATAAAATGGTAGGTCCTCTTATCCCATGACTATTAAGTTTATTAAAGAGCCTTTGATAAGGGACTTTGTCAAAGACTTTCTTAGAGTCCAACTATACAATATCATCATATGTGTTGCAGAACTGATAGGAAACAGTAACTATGAACTATTATATTTAGGATATATGCAGGTAAGAAATTAGCCCCTTCACTCTGTAGTAACAATATCACAGGGTTAGCTTCCATTTGTATTCCTTGCAACCTAATAGAATTTTGGAAGGTGGTTGCAAAAAGGGACTAAAGTCTCTATTTGTCTATATGTCAGCACGATAACCCTTTAAACACTGAACAGTCTAGAACTGCATTTGGGGTAAGCGAGAATCCAGCAAAAGAAAGGTTGAATATGAAAATAGGTTAGTTCAGGTGAGAGGGAAAAAATCCAAAGAAAATTCCTCCAGGGCTTTCCTATGGGAGAAGCAATCAAGCAGCAGCCTGGAATGTTGCTGACTGTTCCATTCCAAGCCATTTCAGTCACATGGCCCAGAGTGGAGCTATTAGTCAGGAGTTGGGAAGAATTTGGTGTATATATAATTTCACAAATTTAATTAAATTCTTATCTACTTCTAATGGAACATTCCAATGCTCAGCAAACCTCTGTTGAGTAAAGCCGTTATGCAGGTGTAACATACATTATGCTGCATCCCTGCTCTTCTCTTTACAAGGAGTGTGTACAGTACATCATTTTTTATGTAAGTCACCTAGAGTCACTTGTATAGTGAGATGGGTAGCATATACATTTGATAAATAGATAAAATAAATAAATAAATCATGGACAGTCTGCCACGGTCAGGCTCTTTGCCTCAGGGAAGCATGCTGGATTGCCTTGGCATGGGGAATGCCTTCATCCAGTGGATCATAAACAGCAGCTTTGTCACCCAAATGAAGCAGCGCGATCACTCCCCTCTCCCAAACATGAGATTGTAAAGCATTGTAAAAGGCGCTTTCACTCAGACACCTGACGAAACAAGGCACCCCTCTGAAAATCTGCACAGCCCCATGCTTTCAAATGCATGATTCAAGGTACTAGAAATCTGATAATCATTCTATTAGCTACACACAGATTTCAAAAAGTGTCTGTGACTAACACTTCTGAGAAGGCAATCACACACACTAAGGATCAAGAATAAAATAGCTAAATATTTTGTTGCACTTTACCCAGTTGCCATTTGCTTGAACACATTGTCTCCATCATCCAAATGGGTAAAGCTGGTTCCAGCATAGCAATTGCCATATTTGCAAAGCATATTGATCCTTGAAGAGATGAAAAATAGATTTCTGGAATTATTTCACTTAAATTCTAATCAATATCTGGAAAGAGCAACACTGACATGAAAAAATGCAGTTTGGAGAACTGCTTGCCAAATGTACAACAATTATTATATTTAAATTGCTAGGATGGGACAAAGCATTTAATCCTGTAATTTCATACAAGTCCCAGTTCTCCAAAAATGAAACAATAAAAAGTACGCTATTTCCAAGAGGTGGAATACAATGTGCAATGACATTTAGAAAATGTTTTAAATCTAGGAGAAGCAATGCACAACTTTTAATATAAGTAAGTTTGCTATTATTGACTCAGTGATATTTGATATACACATTTAGTTTTACTAAAATGTCTATTTCTATGTAGTACTTTTGATTTTCAGGTGGAAATTTTATTTGATAGAACACTTTAGAACAACCACAAGAAGAAAATCAAAAAATTCAAGTCTTGTTGATTATTTATCACAAAATAGAACAGTTGCCACATTCCCTACAAGTAGATTCAAATATACCCAATATCCTGATATTTGTGGATGGAATTTCTCTTAGAGCATATTATGGAGTAATAAAGTTTTTAAATGAAAAACTTAAGATTCTGTAACTTGTCTTATACCACTCATGGACTGAATGACTTTTAAAACAGTTTATACTGTTTTGATAACAACCAAAACTTAACTGCAAACTCAGCCTGTGATGACTTTTAAATCTTTACACTTCATCTAGTATTTCTTAGCTATAGAGAAATTATTTTGCCCAGGAAAAGGCTCTCTTATCACACAGTTCAGCAACAAAATGACCACTGCTGTCATTCTTTGTTCAGATATGCCAAGCTGAATTAGGTTGTCTATTTAGAATATCTAAAACCTTGATGTGCTCTCACTCATACGCCTAAAGGCAAGGAGCAAAGGTCCAGTTCTTTTCTTGCAAAGAAGATGCTGCATCTAACAGATCAGAACTTAAAAAAAAAAAAAAGCCTTTGCTTTTTCAAGTTCTGATATCTTCTTGCAGAAAAGCAGTACAATCTCCTGTAAGACTGCAAAACTCTCACAAGGTTTTATAATATTGTAAGGCCTCAGCCATTTTTTATTTTTAAAAATTTGTTTAAAACAATGTTGATTTTAATTTAAAATGATGCGGATGACAAGTTCTCTAGCACCCACAGGCTAATACCATAAGGCAAGGATAGCCAATGAACATTCTCACCTTTAAAAGTCCTTTTTTTTAGTACTTTCATTTCAAACATTAGCTAATATTTGCTTTTATAACTGTTAGAGATCAACATAAATAATTTTAACATAAATATTCAGGGAGCTAATGCTGTATCATTTACTCTATCACAAGAGCATTAGCCAAGAACCAGTTCTAAAGAAAAATATTTGACATAAACATAGCTACACAAATTCAAAGCTCTGCTAAGTGTAATCTAAAGATCTATACATTACATGCTATAAATCCACATATATTAAGCACATTTTTGTGGAGAAAAAATGAAGTATCATCTGTGATACCATATTCTCTCTAAATTAATTTAATTTAATGTTTGGCAAAGATCTGTATATTTTTGCAATCTCAATCATACATATTCAGTAACGTAGAATGATTACAAGCAATTTGATAAATAGTTGATATAGCTAGAATTAAACTTTCTAGTTCACTCAGGAAATAAATTTTACCCCTGAGTACGTACCTAAAGAATTTTCATTTTCATGTCAAGTATTTACATTTCATAATATTTAGTTATCTCTGAATATGCCCTCATGCATCTATCTGAGATATCCAGTTATCTCACATTGTGCTGTTTCTTTCTACAAAGATAAAGCAATTCAAGAGAAACTAATACTATGGCCCAGTCTGAATTTGACTAAAATTGGTAATTAAACTTTATGATTGATGTACGAACATGAATCAGCTTGAGAAAACCGAAACCAATGAAACTTGGTTTCATTCTAGCCCCAAACACCTCACTTCTTCCCACAGAACAGGAGAAAGAGAATTAAGTTTCCATTAGAAAAAATATGGTTTAAGAGGAACCTAGTTTGCTAAACAAACCAGAAAAACAATCCACAGGTGGAGGTTGCTTGATTTAACACTTGACTTTAGTCTCTTTTAATCAGCATGCTTCATACGTAATCAAACTAGAAAGCTACTAAAATAAAAGGGAACAAAACACCAGGAAGAGAGAATTGGGGCAATGCCACTTTGCCCTCATGCATCTCTGATTTATAACTTAGCATTCTATATGAAACACCCATATGATTTTGACACCTAATTATTTAATAGTTCATTTAAAGTAACTCTACGAGCAATTGTTACCATGCAATATAATTCTCTTTCCCAGGAAAAAATCAATTAATTGGTCCTGGACAAATAAGGATGGACTGCTCCTTCAAGTTAATGATCAGCTAACAGAAACTCACATACTTTAGCTGTGTAGATGAAGCTAGTACTGTATGTGGCGTGGTTGAAGGAAACAGAAAGGGAAGACAATAGAAAATATAGACAGGATCAAAGGAAATCTCTGTAAATCTCTTGGAAGAGCTATGAATTATTACTGGGGATAGTTAGAGATAGTAGGCCTCAGCTCGTACCTTCACCAGAGGTCTAACCCAGCCAAGTGGTGCCTAACTAATATAATTCTGCACAAAAAGTATGCTAAAAGTATAATTTTAAATTTAATCCAAAAGGAAACCAAGGAAACTTCATGTTACAATTAAAATTCATGAATATTTTTTCCAAAACAAACTTGCTTCTTTAATTTCAATGGTATTTAAGTATGTCTAATCATCTTCCCCACTTTTTGAGGTTCCCCATTTTTGTAATTTTTCAGTCAAGCTTTTCTAACACTAAAAAGCTGCTTGCCCAGATGCCAGCTGCATGTAAATCAACACTGTATTAACTCAACAACTTTTCAGTGGTATTTGACAAACACAAACAGTGATATACAATTTCAGTTTAGTGTACTTTGAAATGGCATATCAAGGTTGTAGTTGTGAGACCTCTGCTAATTGTTTAGTGAGTGGTACAATAGTTTTGAATGTCCCACTGCTCTGGTAGCATAGCAGTTTACATCCAAATTCCGTGCAACAAGGTAACATTATTATTCTCACTCACACTAGTTAAAATGTACACATATACTGCACAGCTGAAAAAAATCTTCAGGAAAAGGCTAAGGGCATAAAACTGGGGGACAAGAGACCAATTGTATGGAAATCCCTGAAGAAAATTGCACAACAGCAACAACAACATTAAAAAGAAAAGCATAGACCAGAAAGAATAATTGTGAAAAAATAATAGGTTCTTGAGACATAGAATTGAAAAGACCCAAAGTTAGTATAGATCTGGGGCAAAGGAGAACTTAAAGATTGGAAATGCAAACAAGAATATATCCAGTACTTGCAGCTGTACTCTGGAGAGAAAAATCAGAAGCCAGGGAAGTTAAGAGATTACATCATCACTCAACTTCTCGTTAAGGAACTCCTAAGAAATATCTGAGAAAAAATATTGCTATACTGAATCTGATAACCATATACAGGAGCTCATGAATGGTTCTGTAAAGCTTCTGTTGCATAAATTTTACTACATACAGATGTGGGATTTCCTTTATGATTCCTAATTAGCAAGAATAATTCTCTTGCCACTCACCAAATGTCCTGAACCCAAACCCATCTCATTTTACCAAAGATAATTTTACCTTTACAAACAAAGAAAAGGCTGGAAGAAGAAACTAATTCTCAGTAGGCTTCTGAAATAAGCTTTCTTAGAAAATAAAAATGGTGGTTAGCTGCAACCCAGAGCTTTTGGAGGAGGAGGAGGAAGAGGAAGAGGAAGTGGGGGAGGAGAAGCAGCTGAGGGTAATAGCAGAGAGTATCTGGTTTTGAATGCTGAAACATTTTTTTTTACTTCATTTTCAACCAGCCTATCAAATCCAGAAAACAGCCATATATTTTTAAAAATGTAGCTATGTAAAATCCAAAAATACCTGCAGCAATAAGAATGTATGGGTCCCTCAAGAGGGTCAGTAATGATGCTCCCTTTTGACTCTGTTAAAAGATTTTGAAAAAAAAAATCAGGTTTATAAAAAGGGTGATATAAACATTCTTTTAAAATATTTGCTGAAGTACTTACTTCTGGCTGTATCCTAGATGGCTGTAAAACTAGCAGTTGTATTGCTGCAAACAAAACAAAACAAAAAGGGGCTTTTTACTGTATAGGTTGTAATTAAATTATAAAACTATATACAAAACCATAAACATTCCTTCTACTTACCTCCATCAAAAAGAGCCAAAGCTGCTAACACCAGGAATGGGGCTGCCTTCCCAACAAATTCATACATGACACTTCCAAAAGGCGGACCAACTATGAAAAAATACACCAGTTTCAAAGTTACTTTTTCTTAGTAAATGTTTTGGATTCTAGTAAGATATATGGCCAAACATCAGTAATAAGTAATGGCATCTCTATACGTAGATGAATATTGTGTCTGGTGTTTAGGTTAAAACCTCAATTTCCTCTGAAGGGAAAATGGCCATTTAAAACAAGGTAGAAAAGGCATGTGTGGCCGTGGCATTTGAATTCTTTTCAAGAGAAAAAACAGCTGTGCTCTGGGTCGCATGATGATAGAATAGGGGAGGGGGCTTGAATGGAACAGTCAGCTGCATTCCGAGACACTGCCCAACTGCCTCTCAAATAGGGATTCATAGGGGGAATTTTCTTGATTTTTTTCCCACAGCCACCAGCCCAGTCTGGTCCATTTTCAAACTTGATTTTTCTTCTATACCATCTTCTCCCCAACACCCAATTGCCCATTTCGTTCTGTTTTCAGTTAATTATCCTGCTGCCAGACAAGTCCTAATCCATATTTTCTTTTCAACATTCAATTGATTGGAAGGAATAAAAAGAGAACCATCATTGTACTGAACCATTTGGGACATATGGTGGCTGTTCACAGAAATGCTTGCCTTAAATGAATGTGTGGTTGCCCATACTCAGAGAGACTCCATACATTGCTCAATTATATATAAAATAAAGCAGTATACGTTAAAAATTCAAGTATGTTGAGGTAACCATTGCCCTTGCTACTTGTTAAGTACCTATAACTGCAAAATGGAAGGGAGGAACAATTACATGTTCAGTATATTGGCAACTGAGAGCCAGCCTGGTGTAATAGTTAAGGCACCAGTCTAGAAACTGGAAGCCTGTGAGTTCCAGTCCCACCTTAGGCACAAAATCAGCTGGGTGACCTTGGGCCAGTTGCTCCCTCTCTGACTGAGGAAGAAGGCAATGCCAAACCACTTCTGAAAACGTTGCCAAGAAGCAGGGAGTTGCCCAGGCAGACGCCAGGAGTCAAAACTTACTTGATAGTACTCTATATGTCTCTCTCTCTCTCTCTCTGTGTATATGCACAACTAAACTTTTTGACAGCTACAAGCCAACAAATAATTCTGAGTCAAATAATTCAATTAACAATCTATTCTTGTGCAGTTTTA